AATAATAATTATACTAGAATTTAAAATAGCATAGGAAGATATATTATCGTTTTTTCCTTTTAAAAAATTATATTGAATAGGTTAATATGATTTTTTTATATAAATATGCTATTCAGATCCGATAATTAAAACATTCCACACTTAATAAATTTGAGAACAAAATTTTTTTATTTAGTCCAAAAAAATGAAGAATATAAAAAATTAAGGTGCAAAGTTGTACAATTTAGAGCATGTTTGTTTTCTATTTTTAGAAACTGTTTTTTGCTTTTGATGACAGAAAAACTTAAAAACTTGTTTGATTAAGTGTTTTCTATTTACTTATTTGCAAAAATATTTTTATTTTATTTTTTTAAAAATAAAAAAAATAAAAACAACTTTAAATTTTTTTCATTTTATTTTTCTTATTTTTAAAATGTACTATATTTAATTATTAAAAATTATAATTATGCTGACCAATGATTTATTATAAATCACTATCATTAACAACTTATAATCATTATTATCAGTCTATTTTTAAATTTTAAAATTATTTTTAAATTAATATAACTAAACAAATTTTTATTTTATTTTGTTTTGAAAAATAATTCTGAAAACTGTATTATAAAACAGTTTTTAAAAATAAAAAAATAAGAACTGTCCTTACTTTCCCTGTTTATAATTTTTCTCGGGAGTGAATTCATTATAATGTTTCATAAGATGAAAAGGCTAAAATATATCTTTAATTCTTTAATTTTATATAAAATTTTATTTTGATCCTTACTTTTATAAAATATTTTTTTAAAATTATTTAATCTTAATATCATTAATTTTATTATAAAAAACTTATACATTAAATTTTTAAATATTAATAAAATATTTTTAAATGTTAACATATTAAATTTAATTTTTTAAATAATAATAATTGATATAAAAAAAATCATTTAAATTTAACGGTATTAAGATTAGAGAATTAAAAAAAATACTTTTTAAAATTAAAGAATTAAGTTAAAATTTCATATAAAATTAAAAATTTAAAGAATATTTTAATTAATTAAAAAGAGTGCGCAAGCCTGGTGTGAGGTGAGGAGTGTCGCAAAGAAAGAGTCAAGATAACAATTCTAAATCTAAAACTACTCATTAAATAATTGGAGAGTGAGAGTTCGCGTTTTTACTGTACACCACATAGCCAGCCTTTCAACTTTTCTTTGCGTCATGTCCTGTCAGAGACAACGACCGCCCACCACCATTATTTTCTTAATACATCTCCTGTAGGGAAAATGATATTAAAGCCTTTAAAAATAAAGTTTATTATATTAAGGGTCTAAATTATTCTGAAATTATTTTGTAGGCCTTAAGACTTTAATTGTAACATTCTTTTCGAGTAAAAATATTATTTTATTTTTTTTTGATTTGAATTTAGAACCTGTGTGAACCCTCGAAACAACGGAATAAATCATGCACAACATAACATCCACTATATACAAGACGAGGTCCACGCATGCTCAATAGAAAGTCCATGTATTTTGAGTATTTTACTAGCCTAGGCTCTAACAAAATGACCTGACAGACCATGCATAACACAACATTCACTATGCACTAAACTATGTTCACTCATGCTCAACAGAAAATCCATGCATTTTGAATATTTCATTAGCCTAGGCTCAATAAAATTAGTTAGGCAGAACATGCACAACACAACATCCACTATGCACAAGACGATGTCCACACATGCTTAATAGAAAGTCTATGCATTTTGAGTATTTCACTAGCCTAGGCTCTAACAAAAATGACTAGGCAGACCATGCACAACACAACATCCACTATGCACTAGACTATGTTCACGCATGCTCAACAAAAAATTCATGCATTTCGAATATTTCATTAGCCTAGGCTCAACAAAATGACTAGTTAGACAGATCATGCACAACACAACATCCACTATGCACAAGACGATGTCCACACATGCTCAATAGAAAGTCTATGCATTTTGAGTATTTCACTAGCCTAGGCTCTAACAAAAATGATTAGGCAGATCATGCACAACATAACATTCACTATGCACTAGACTATATTCACACATGCTCAATAAAAAATTCATGCATTTCGAATATTTCATTAGCCTAAGCTTAACAAAATGACTTGTTAGGTAGACCATGTACAACACAACATCCACTATGCATAAGACGATGTTCACACATGCTCAACAGAAAGTCTATGCATTTTCAGTATTTCACAAGCCAAGGTTTAATAAAAATGATAAATTAGGCAGACCATGCACGACACAATGTCCATTATGTACAAGATGATATCCACATATGCTTAACAAAAAATTCATGCATTTCCAATATTAAGAAGGATAATTACATCAGATATGTAGAATTTCATGTTGGTATTGACCTAGGTACTAAAACAAGTACCCACATTAAATTTTGACATGATATTTCAAGTCTGATATGTACAAAAAGCTAGCCACTATATTCAAAACATCTAACAGTTGCTTCTCTATATACAAATAAAAAATATTTGTGATTCTCAATTATCCAAAAAATATTACTTGAAAATGCTTCCATATACATAATTATAGTTGCCTATATACATCAAAAAGGAAAATGTGACTACTTCTCATGTTGGGTTAGGATTCTTGCATGTCTTGTCATTGTGTCCAGCCTCCCCACATCTTGAACAATGATAAATTTTCTTTTATTTTAATCTGCAATGAACAAATTAATCTAGGTAAATGTCCACATATAGAAGCCCAACTTTTATTTTATACAACTCAAAGTTAAATATAAGCAACTCAAAGTTCATTTTTGCACAGGAGATATTCCAACATCTTTGACAGCATATTTTTTTCACATTGGGAGTTATATTTTTATTCAATTCACATATCAAAGTCTAATATGAACAAGTCAACCATCACTATTATACAACAATTAATCCATTCTAAAACTTTCACAGTTAACTTAATGGTTTAGTAACCTTTAGCTTATATCAGTAAGTTATGCTTAACAAAATGCACAAGTAGGCAAACAATGTATGACAATACCCACTATGCACAACATAAGGTTCATATATTTTCAACTAAAAATCCATACGATTCTATTTTATTAGTAGGCTAAATTTAACAAAATGCTCAAGTTAGGAAAATAGTGCACAACACAACATCTACTATGCACAACGTAAGGTTCATATATTCTCACTTGAATGTTATGTGAGTTCAATTTATCATTAGGCTATGCTTAATAAAATGCACAACAGCTCAAAGTTCATTTTTACACAACAAATATTCCAACATTTTTGATAGGAAATTTTCTTCATATTAGATCATATTTTATTCAGTTCACATGTAAAAGTCCAATATGAACAAGTCAACTATCATTATTGCACAACAACTAATCCACTCTAAAACTTTCATGACCAAAATAATTCAGTAACTTTTTGCTCAGATCAGCAGTAGAATCACAAAATAAACAAGTAAACTCGTAGGCTTAAAAATCTATGCTTCACGCGAGAGACCTATTACAACTTCAACAACTAAAAGACACACATGCACCGAATCAATGGGGGAGAAACAAAATTGAAGATCCTTACCTCTAAACAATAATAATAGAAGCTTCAAAAAATAAATGATGTCGCTCGAATAAGGAAGACGAAGAAGATCAGCAATGGCTGGCGATGTGCAAGGAAAGAGAGGAAAAATCATGAACTGTGCTTCATCTATCAACACCCACGACTTCTACACTCATTTACGCCGGCAACGATCAACGACGATAGAGCAATGACTGGTGAAATGAAAAAGAGAGAGAGAGAGAGAAGGAAGAGGAAGGAAGAACAGAGAAAGAAGAAGAAATTTTTGTTCAGCTGGTTATGGGAGGGACAAATTGGTCATTTCACCAAAAAACATAATTACAAATGAGGCCTTTAGGCCTTCAGAATAATTTTAGAATCTATTAGGCCTTATCTGCAAAATTCTTGCTTTTTAAGGTCCTTAGTGCCATTTTTCCTTTCCTTTATGTCTTACGTCTTCCTCTTATTAAGCCAACGGTCTAAAAGTTTGTTTATTCAACTATTTTTTTTATAAGATAAGATCATATAATTTACATGTATTAATAGAATAATTTTAACTAACTTATGTTTTATTTCTACTCTCTATTTTTTTGTTTTAATTAACTGATTAGATACATTTTACCAAAAATTCATTAATTAATCATAAACATGTGTAAATTATTTCATATTAATTAAATAGAGGTAATATTAAAAAACATAATTAACACCCTTCAAATGTTTTATATTGAGGAAATTTTACTTTTCTAGACGTTGTCCTGTAATCAGGATAGGATGGAATAAGTAATTGAAAATTTGAATTCCAATTCTTATATGTGTGATAATTTAATTGAAAAAAATTGATTATTTACTCTAGTACTCTGTAATTATATTCTTTGTTGTTGCTCGTGGATAGAGTCTACTCATTGTACTTATAAAAAATATTAATTTTTTATTTTTTTTATTAATGTTATGCATGTGTTTTTTTTTTGATAAAAAGTTATACATGTGTTTAATGTAATAAGAAAGAAAAATATAATTTTTCTTTTTTTTTTCAGTATTTTATTAACTAATACTATTAAATTTTAAGAAAAATATAATTTTCAATTTTTATATTTTATTTAAATTTTATTATAAGTTTATAAACAGCTTTATAAAGATTTAAAATATTAAAAAATAAAATTAAAAAATTTAAAATTTAAAAATTATAAAAATTTATAACAAAACTCAATCAAAATATAAAAGAAGTTCAATGTTTTGTTTTTGCAAGAATCAATATATTACTAAACCTGTTTCACTAAAATGCCTCTTATAAACAGTAACGGCTTAATTTTGGGCTTCGTGACTCACATTTCAACTTGCTATTCGTTTTATGACCCAGCTTGAAAGGACTAAAGGGGCTTTCTCTTTAAATAAAGCCCGTTTAAAAAAATTATGACAGCGACATATGCTTCATCCTTCTTCTCTTCCCAAAAACACCCTAAGCACTCCTCTAGCAGAGTCTTGCAGTAGTTCAGCTCCAATCTTTCTTCCTTCCTTCTTTCATGGTGTGCTTTCATTCGACTCCCTCCTTCCCCATTCATCTTCATCTTATCTAGCCGTCAAAACCTTTTTGCTTCGTTCAAAATCAAAACGGTCAAAGCCATCACCAACTTCCACACTCACAGTTACTCTATCTGTGAAAGCCATCACTGGCTTCTCTATCTCAAACTTTCCATCATTCTCTCCACCTCGAAGCTTCGTAGATCTCTTCTCTTTGAAGCTTCGTCCTTCAATTTGTGTCCAGGGTGCATGGATCTATGCATAAAATGCCTCCTCAAGTCCAACCCCATCGGGGATGTCGCTTCCCTTGCCTCCATGCTTGCTGACATCATCTCAGTTGACTGTAGACCCAGCGGTTAACCTTTCTTGAATATTGCCAATGGTCTTTGGTACGTTCAAACTCCTAACACTTGAGCCCTTTTTTTATTTTCTTAGTGTCTCTTCCTCAATTTATGTGATTGTAAAGGGTTACAATCAATGGATTGGAGGGATTTAAGATTGTGATATTGAAGATAATTTTTTGAACTGTCACAGGAAATGTTGTTGACGTGATTGTCATATAGAAACTTCCGAGGTATGTCTCTCTTGTAGCTGTGTTATCTACCTCCTTACTTATTCTTGCTATTTCATATCATGACATCCATTATCCAGTTTTCCCATTTGACTCAGAGCTATCATCGTGTATTAGTGTGAGTGTTCACTGTTTGGATTCTGGATTCTGCTTTGTTGTTCAAGCTCTGTTTTGGCATATAAGACTTCATATATGTATTCTCCTTATGAAAGTACTTTTTTTTGCATTTTATTGAATCTGAGCTTTTGTCTTTCTTCATTCAAGGTTGAATAGGGCTGAGAATAGCTTTACCACAAATTATTCTATTAAGGTTTGTAAACTATCAGTTTAATTTTTTGTTTTCTGAATCTGGAAATTTAATGGATTTACTTTTTAGTTTAGTGTTGCTGACCCCTAAAGCTTGATGTACATTTCAATTTTGGTGGAGGAATTGGCGGGCTGTATATAATTACAAATGGATAATCAACAAACGACTCTTTTGCCGAGTGAGAAATTCACATAGAGAAATGAAAACTTCTCTACGTTGAACTCTAGCAAGTTTTACTTCAAGATTTTCATTATGGGCAATTATCCATGGTATTTCCTTTGGTTGGAATTTACTAAATACTTAATTTCATCTTTGAAATAATTTGCATTTGTGATTTGAATATGATTTTCTTTGGGCCAGCTATCAAGAGAATTCTTAAATATTCTAAAGGGAACAATGTGGACTACTTGTCTTTATATTTGGATGTTGTGGATTCCACAGCACAATGTGGACTACTCGTCTTTGTAAGAGTTGGATGGTTGGCTATGTACTGTAAATAGCTAGCTGTAAGGAGAATTATTAATAACACTTGACATTTTAGCCTGCTTTTATATATAATGTTTAAAGTTTTGCTGCTGATTTTGTACAATCCTTTTCTTAAATGAGTTTTATTACTCCATGCAGGTTCAATGACAATTAAAGGAATGCTCTAAAATCAACTCCTAGTTTTCTTACAACTACATTGAAAAGATGTTGGGTATGAGAAAGTTGATAGAGTAATGATGATACAAGGTAACTCTTTTTTCACTGTTATTAGTGATAAAGTAATAATGGACAATGCATGTTTTTGAAACTGTTCAGGAGAGATAGGGAAAATGTAGAGAATCCAGTTTGGATTAGTCTGAATAAAATGATTTGACAGTAATAATGAACACCTCTTTTTTGACAGTAAACTTGCTAAATATAGAATCATCTCTTTTCTTAGGTAAAACACTAACTATGACGTTTGTGGTATCTCTGTCAATATTAGGTGTATATGCAGTTTCACTTTACGTTTAAATTCTTGCAAATGTGGCCCTGACCATAATGGTACGTTTACAATATCAATGAGCATTTTTAAACCCTATTCACTTCCAAAAGAAAAACATTTCAATCCTCCATGAAGCTCAGTTGTTACTAGCAAATATAAAAAAGATCACATTTTTTTGAGCACAAATAAAAAACTTCACATTAAAATCACTTTTCATTGTGGCATAAAATTGTGTAATTGGCTGGTAGTTCCTACTTTCTAATAAATTCTTTCTTACTGTTCTTAACGTAGGGCAAAGATGTGGTAGTTAAATTTTTTTTTTTTACTAATGTTACTTGTCCTTAATTGTAAAATTGGAAAATCACAATTTTTTTTTTTACAAATTTAAAGTATCAATAGTCACTTATTAAAACACTTGAAATTAGTCAATGTTGTTTCATGAGTATGATAAAAATAAAAAGTTCTTAAATTATAAAGTAAAGGCATTATATTTAAATTTAAAATATATATCCAATAGAGATGAAGGTATTATTTCTTAAATAAAAAATTGCAAACTATAATATCATAAAAAGATGCCTAACAATTTTAATTTCTTTTCATGAAAGATGACAAAACAAGCAAATCCTACAATCAATAAATTATTACAAAAATTAATCATTATATTTGATCAACATTTATGTATAATGTTCCCATCCATTTCATGAGGAAGTAAAAGTATGATATGTGACATTATCAAGGATGAAAAGCATAAATGGACTATAAATTTTGTTACATGATCATGAAAATATTGTTAGAATAATATAAAATGTGGTGTTTAATTCAATATAATTTTTACTTCCCGTGTATCGCACGGGGTAGTAAAAGTTAGTTCTATCAAACATCTAATACAAGTCAGATAGTACAAGTCACATGGTCTAGCATTCTTTTGCAGGCTTCCCTCAAAACAAAAGCTCTCTCTTCTGCTTGCATCTCATTTTCTCTGTTTCCTCTTCCTGAGCCACTCTCTCTGGTCTTTCAATTTCTTGTTCTTGACTAAAGCATTTCCGAAAAAAAAAAAATCGTGGTTTTTTCCCCCATACTATCTGTCTCCATTTCTTCTTCCCAAGTTTTCTATTCAACTTGTTTTCATTTTCCAGTATCATCTAATTTTTCAAGGCTGACATGCGTGGCTAGCCCTTGCCATTTTCGGAGACGACACTGTTCATAAAGCCACTGTGAAAGTAACCATGTGAGAGGAGCGGGCCCCACCTCATTAGCTTGGACTGCTTGGTGGAGTCACTATCTGGGATATATTGAATATCTGAAGATGATGATTGATGATGTTTTTCCAGCCTGGATTTTGTGGCGAGGGGGAGTTTACCTATTGACTTGAAAAAGCAAGTCTTTTGCGGGTCTTTTATAGGAAGCGGCATTGCAATTGCATCTTATTTTCATTGCCTCCGAGCTTCGTCTGCTTTTCCTGCACTCTGTTCTTCCAATTTCTTCTGCTATTTCCTTCTACTTTCACCTACAAACCATTCCAAGGAAATTTGTTTCCTCTACCTCTCTTCATTCCTCTTCTAAGTTTTCGGTTCAACTTGGTTTCTTTCATTTTCCTGTTCCAACTGCCTCAAAAAAAAAAAAAAAAGTGCCTTTGTTTAAGGATTTGTTTTCTTGTTATCTCTTCTTTTCGCTGTCGGTTTTAAAAATCTTTTGCCAAAAAAACTAAAATTCTTTTTCTCATCATTGGAGGGGTTTTTGTTGTCTCGTTCCGTAGTTCATATACAAACTAAATTTATTAAAAGCCAAAAAAAAAAAAAAAAGTTGACGTCGTTGTTGTTTAGAGATTTCTTGCAAGTCTGCTCTCTGTTACTTCTGTTTGTTGCTTTAAAAAAATCTTCAAAAAAAAAAAAAGTTTCTCATCTACCTGTCTCTCTTAGAAGTCCTGGTAGTGTCTCTCTTCGTTCCTTCTTCTAGGTTTTCTGTTCAACTTGTTTTCTTTCTTTCTTTATTGTTTTTTGGGCAAAGGTTGCTTTCATTTTCTTGTATCAGGTTGTGCAAAAAAAAAAAAAAGAAAAAGAAAACAAAGGGTGTCTTTGTTTAAGGGTCTATTTTCTGGATACCTCTTCTTGTATTTGTTTCCTTTGAAAAATCTAAAAGAAAAAGGGAAAAAATTTCTCATGCTCAATCCTTTGTTCCTTGGAAGTCTTTGGTACTGCTGCCTTAGTTTGTAGTTCTTCAGAGTGAGAGATAAGTTTAATTTGGTGTGAAGCAGAGAGTGATTCCGGTAAAGTTCGTCTCTTGTTGTTTAGAATCTTTCTATTCTATAATTATTAATGTTGATTAATAATATGAATTGTGTTTTTCCTCTATTTTTGTGGTTATGATTCTGGACAACAGAATATTACTTGGCAAGGGAAGGGCAGCTGCGGCAGACACCTCTCTCTCATCTTTCACAGGCTCTGTCTGGTAAAGTCCTTTCAATTTTTGATTTAAGTTTTGGTGTCCATTATTAAACACCAAATCTGGACCATTCATTTTAATTTTAGAATTTGGTGCGTTTGTATGTATTTTTGAGTAAAATATAACTTTAAAGTATGAGTAAAATACAACCACCTTCTCTACAACTAAATGGATCTAACAAGTATTCAAGTACAATTCTTAATACCGTTAAAAATATTCTTTTAAAAATTTTAGAATTATTAATTTGTTTTTATAATTTAATTGTCTATCCTCTCCGAATTTTAAAAAGTCAAAATGATTTTTAATCTAATATATATAATTTAATGATAAAGTTGTGTGGATGAAAATAAAATTTCAAAAATATTCTTAAATTATTAACAACTTCTATAGAAAAAGTATAAATATCCCTTTTTTTTATTGTATGTTTATATTAAAACTAAATGATGGAAATTTGTATTTTTTATTAATGTTATTTAAAAAATTGTAAAATATTGGAATGGGGTTAAAAATGATGCATTGTTTTTTTTTTTTCATTTTTATGATTTTTTAAAGAATAGCATAAAGTTATAATTTTGATTTATTTTTTAAAAAAATTGTGAAAAATAATTATACCTTTTATATTTATAAGATATTAAGGGTCTGTTTAGTTTTTACTTTTTATTTTTTTTAAGTAAAAACTTGGATAATTGTTCTGGATTTAATTGTTTTCAAAATAAAAAAAAGAAAAACATTTTAAAATTGGTTTCATTTCATTTTTTTTGTTTTCAAAATACATTATGCTTGGCCAATTTCTATCCTAAACAACCACCATTAAATGCCTGCAAACATGATTATCAGTGTATTTTGTAATTCTATAACTATTTTTTAATTAACGTAAGCATATTTTCATTTTATTTTATTTTAAAAAATAATTCTTAAAACTATATTATAAATAACGTAAAAATAAAAAGTGAAAATAGAAACTAAACAGGCTTTAAAATGTCTTTAATTTCATATTTTGTCTCTGAATTCTCAGTGGAAATAATATTGAAGAAGCTATCTAAAAAATCAACCAAAAAAAAAGTAAGGGCCTATTTATTTTCTATTTTAACAAACTATTTTTTATTTTTAAAAATAAAAGAATACAAAAACTTGTTTAGATAAGTATTCTTCATTTAATTGTTTGAAAAATGTTTTTATTTTTTATTTTTTTAAAAATAAAAACAATTTCAAGTTGTTTTTGTTTTATTTTTCTTGTTTTTAAGATATACTGTATTTGATTATTGAAAGTTATAAACACCTTAACCATTTTTTATTATCAATTATCATCATTAACTGTCTATAATTATTACTATCAATTCATTTTTTAATTGATATAATTAAATAGATTTTTATTTTTTTATTTTAAAAAATAATTTTAAAAATTATATTACAAAATAATTTAAAAAAAAGAGAGAACAAAAACCAAATTTCTCGTTTGTTACTTGCAGCATAGGAATGCAAATAGGCATGTTTATGACACCCATTTCTCCATCTGATATGATTTTACTTTTTGATGTTTGTGTTGTGTTAATCGTACATCAATTTAGGAATCAACAATGGAGATTCTCAGTGCCATTGCTGGCGAAATAGCAAAGTATACACTGAAACCCATTGTACGACAAGTGGGATATTTGTTTTTTTACAAAGACAATTTTAAGGAGCTAAAGGATCAAGTCGAGGCGCTGGGGATAGCAAAAGAGCGAATTGTGCATGAGGTTGAAGCGGAGAGAAGAAATGGAAGAGAGATTGAAGCTGATGTGGGGGAGTGGCTGAAGAAAGCTGACACGACTTTAAAGGAAGCTGATGGAGTGTGTAAAGATCCACGCTGTGTGAAAGCAGACTGTTCTGGATGGTGTTTTCCTAATTTGATTTCACGCCATCAACTAAGTCGAAATGCAAAGAAAACGGTAGAAAATGTTGCTAAAGTGCTGACAAATGGGAAGTTCGATCGAATTGCGCACCTCCCTCCTTTACCCACCATCATAACAATTAGTGTAAAGCTTGAGTCAAGGAACAAGATGAAGGAGGAGATTTTGCTGGCTCTTAAAGACCCTAAACTAAGCAGAATAGGAGTCTATGGATTAAGTGGGGTGGGGAAGACCACTCTAGCTGGAGAAATTGTTGAGCAAGTGAAGCATGAAAGGTTATTTGATGAAGTGGTTATGGTAACTATATCACAAACTGCAGATATTGACAGAATTCAAGATGAGATGGCAGATAAGCTAGGCCTCCGCTTTGGAGAGAGGTCTATGGCTGGAAAAGCAGGCCGCTTGTATGACAGAATCACACGGGAGAAAGCTATCCTCATCATATTGGATGACATCTATAATCAACTTAATTTGGATAACTTGGGAATTCCATCCAAAGATAAATATAAGTTGGGAATTTCTATTGAGGATAACTATAAGGGCTGCAAGTTGCTGCTAACTTCTAGAGACAAAAAAATTTTAGAAAACTATGATACTGAAAAGAATTTTAGACTTGAAGTTTTAAATGATGAAGAATCTCGTAGATTATTTCAAAATATGAATGATGATGCCGTCGGAGATGTTGAGTTGCAAGATATTGCAGCCCAAGTGACCCGAAGTTGTGCAGGCTTGCCTGTTGTGATAGTCACAATGGCAAAGGCGTTGAGAAATAAGGGAATTGATTTTTGGGAAAATGCCTTGAAGAAATTGGAAAGCGTCGATAATGGGGAGAGAGTTTTCGAAGCTTTGCAATTTAGTTACAATCAATTGAAAGATGAGGAAGTGAAGCAGGTTTTCTTGCTTTGTGGAGTACAAGGAACTTCCACTTATGTTAGTGACTTGTTGAAATATGTATTTGGTTTGGGTATATTCAAGCAAGTAGATACCGTTGAAGATGCAAGAATCAAACTTCGCGAAACGATGGCTGATTTGAAGTCATGTTGTTTGTTACTTGACCATGATGCAACGATCAAAATGCATGATACTGTTTGCAAAGTAGCTATAAAAATTGCATTTAGGGATTTTTATGTTTTCACACTGGAAAGGACAATTGGCTTGCAAGGTTTGCCAGATGGGGATTTTCTCAAAAGGTGTTCCCAAATAAATTTAATTCGTTGTTGTATCCGACAACTTCCTGAAAAGTTAGATTGTCCTGATTTGAAATTCCTTCACTTGAATAGTAAAGATAATCCTTCATTGGAAATTCCAAATTCCTTTTTTGAGGGTATGAGAAAACTTGAAGTGTTGGATGTCACAGGAATGATCGTACCATCATTACCTACGTCGCTTGTTTCCTTGACCAAACTTAAAACATTATGTTTGGATCATTGTTATTTGAAAGATATGGCTGGAATTGGAGTTTTGAAAAATTTAAAAATTCTTAGCTTCATCCATTCATCTATGGAAGAGTTTCCCAGTGAAATAGGACAATTGACTCATCTAAAAATGTTGGATTTGAGGAATTCTGGAATTGAAGTCATCCCACCCAACATTGTGTCCCAGTTGACCAAACTGGAGGAATTGTATATAGGCAATGCCTTGATAAAGTGGGGCGTAGACAATTCTGCTAAGCAAAACAAAAATGCTAGTCTTAGTGAGCTAAGGCATTTGACAAGCTTAAGTACTCTAGAAATTCAAACGGAGACTTGGATTTTGACGAGGGGCATAAGGTTTGAGAACTTAAAGAGATATAAGATTGTTGTAGGAGATAAATGGGAATGGCCATATTATAATGAGACCTCAAGATTGTTAAAGCTGAAGCTTGATACTCACATTCCTTCTGAACATGGGATTAAAATGTTGATTAAAAGAGCGGAAGATTTGTACTTAGATGAAGTAAATGGCATTTCAAATGTGGTTTTCCAATTGAATGGCGAAGGATTTCCATTGCTAAAGCATCTCCACATCCAATATAATGGTGAAATTCAGTACATTATCAACTCAATCGGGAGGAATCAAACTAACGTAATTCTGTTTCCCAAATTGGAGACTCTCATACTTCAGAATCTCTCTATGTTGGAGGAGATATGTCATGGCCCTTTGTGGGTTGGTTCTTTTCGAGAACTTAGAGTCATCAAGCTCAAAAGTTGTGGCAAACTAGAATATGTCTTGTTGAATTCAATGATTAAAGAATTTTCTCAGCTTGTTGAAATGGATGTTTCTGAATGCCCTTCTGTGAAGAATATTGTGTTTATGGAAAGCATGAATAGTGGCATGGTCATCAATAAAGTTGAGTTTCTTCCACTGCGACGCTTGGCTTTACAATATTTACATGCAATGGTCGGTTTTCGCTCTGATAACCCAGCATTGTTTTTTGACGCAAAGGTATGCTCGTTCTTTTGCATTCTTATGTTTCTCATGCAATTGTTACCTGGAAATTTGAGATACTTGCTTTAAGTATGTATGTGTGTACGTGTAATACACATCTTTAATACCTTGCAAGTAAAAAGTTGGTGGTTTTGTGTATATATTATATTAAAATTAAGGAGTAACATTTTTTGCAGGTTTCATTGCCAAACTTGGACAGCTTGAAATTGAGCTCGATCAATTTAAACAAAATTTGGGATGATCATCAACTTTCAGTACCCAATTCTTTTCAGAATCTAGCTCATTTGATCGTGGAGGAGTGTGGCAACCTACAGTATTTGTTCTTACCTTCCATGGTTGAAAATCTGAAAAATCTCAAACAGCTTAAAGTAAGTAAATGCGACAAGATGGAGGAGATAATAGCCACTGAAGGAAGAAACAATGAGATTACATTGAATCAAGAGGTACTATTATTTTGTTCTTCATTATATGGTAGTTCCCAACATTTGTATTTCTCTTGATAATACAACAACAGCAACAACAACAACAACAACAGTTCTAATTAATTAATGAGCATAAAATCTTAATCACAGTGTATTATAAATTGGTGTACATACGCCTTGAATCATGACGTCCAAAATTGATCAAATAATCACATTCAAGTAAATCTATCTATATATATATGTATATATCAAGGATTATCTTTTTATTAAATGGAGTTAATCCTTGCTTATTATACGATATTTATTATTACTTGTGCATCATGTAGGCTGGATTTTCCAAATTGGAGGAGATCATAATAAATGACATGAAAAACTTGAAGACAGCATGGCACTATCAATTTGGCAGATTGAAGACATTGGAAATCAAGAAGTGTGAGAGACTGGAGACTATTTTTCCAGCAGGCTACATGCGTGAAGCATTAAGAAGTCTTGAGACATTGAAGGTCTGTGATTGTGCTTTAGTGAAAGAGATATTCCACTTAACGGCCAATGGAATGGGTACTGAAGAGGCGACAACCCAGCTTAAAAGTCTAGTACTACATGGACTGCCAAAGATGAAACAAATATGGAGTAGGGATCCCCAGGGACTTTTTCGCTTTTTTAATCTACAGCTTGTGCAAATTGAAGACTGTGAAAATTTAGAGTATGTCTTCCCATTCTCCATTGCTAAGGATCTTCCACAACTTGATGACCTCCAGTTAGTTTCATGCGGGATAAAGGAAGTTGTTTCAAAAAAGGATGGACCTATGGATGAAACTACCATATTTGAGCTTAATCATCTCACCTGTGTGAAACTAGTACGTTTACATAAGCTCAAGGAATTCTATGTCGGGGCTCATACCTTAGAATGTCAATCCTTGAGAAAATTGTTTGTGCTTAATTGTAAGCTACTGAAGCTTTTCAATTCACGGTCAAGCAGATGTCAAGAAAGTCCTTCATATCACCAACCTCATTTCTCAAAGCCACAGCCTCTGTTCCAAGTTGAAGAGGTAGGGATGGCATTATTTCCTTATCTCCATATAGTTTTATTGATGAAGGTTCTTCTAGCTCTAGCTGATGAGCCATGCACGATATCTTTTGTTTCTTTTGCTTTAGATATTTTATGAATAAAGAATTCAATTTATCAGATTAGAGATAGTTAAGTTATGGTCTAGCTTATTTTTCTGCATTAGTCAAGGAAACAAACTCCCTTAAATTCTAGAGGTTGGATATTGACCATCTTCTAGGAGAACGTAATGAAAATCAGAAACCTCTTGTGGTTAGTATCTCTTCTCTGTTTTTCTTTTCTTTCTTTCTTCCTTTCTTTCTTTTTTGTGCCTCTATTATGCTCTTTTATACACTATAAATCTTCTACAATTCCAGAAGTCATTTTGCTGATATGGTCATGATAGTTAGCCACTTGTATTTGTGTACAGTTTAGTTTCAATATTTTATATTTATTCATTAGTCAAATCCATTTGCAATTTCCAAATTATTGACTTTTCATCAGTCATGATGCAAACTAATGATACTTTCTAATGATGAAATTTTGCTTTATGTAATTGTGTTGTAGGTGATTGGCAACTTACACATTTTGGCACTACGTTGTGTGGATGCTAACATGATATTGCAACACCAAGTTCCAGGGGAACTCTTCTGTGAAATCAAAGATCTTGTGATAACTGAATTTGAAGATGATAAAGCAACTTTTCCGCATTGGTTTCTAAAAAATTTACCCAAGCTTGAGGTACTAACTGTTATGACCAGTTCCTTTAAGGAAATATTTTGTGATGAAACATTAATTGATGAGGAGGGACAAGACAAAATTAGCACACGAGTTAAAAGATTGTCGCTCTCAACTTTACCTGAACTTCAGGATTTATGTAGAGGAGGAAGTCAAATTCACCCAGTTCTTGAGCTTCTTGAAATCTTAACTGTGATAGAATGTTCCAATCTGAGAAATTTAGTTCCTTCCTCTGCAACTTTTTGCCACTTGACATGCATGGTGATAACGAACTGCCATAGTTTGAAAAGCCTGATGACGGCATCAACCGCACGAAGTCTTGTCAAGCTGCAAACGATGAAATTAGAAGAGTGCAAGTCACTTCAAAAAGTTGTGACAGAAGAGGTGAATGAGACAGAACATGAAATTGCATTTAACAGTCTGTTAATTTTAGAGCTGAATTATTTGCCAGTGCTCCATAGTTTTTCATCAAGTAAGTACTCCTTCAAGTTTCCATGGTTGGAGAGAGTTGTTGTTAGTCAATGCCCTAGGATGCAGATTTTCTCTGCCAAAGCAACAAGTACACCCAAGCTTAAAAAAGTGCTAATAGAGGAAAAAGCCTGCGGAGAATATTATTGGCAAGGCGACTTAAATGGAACAATAAACAATATGTATCTGAACAAGGTATGTTCTAATATTAAGCCAACTAATTTTTAAAGACGCTGACTGAATTTTTTTTATTTTCTGCAGTAAATTGTTTAATTTTTTTCAATACCTTGTTTTTAAAATTGAAATGATAAATTCCTTCGTACAGGTTGCATTTTGTAGCTTCGTGCATTTAAAGGTTTCGGATTATCCTGAGTTGGGAGAATTGTGGTATGGCCAAGTTAAGAACAAATTATTTTGTAATTTGAAATCTTTGGTGGTGCAAAATTGCCATTGGTTGTCAAATTTTCTTCTTTCTGGAAATATACTTGAAGCTCTTTCCAACTTGAAAGAGCTTGAAGTAAGAGAGTGCGTCACACTTGAAGCTGTGTTTGAGTTGGGCGACATAAATGAAAGGGGATTAATAGTGAGAGAAATAAAAAAAAATAACTCTGTCTAATTTACCTAAACTCAAGCGCATATGGAATCTTGATTCCCAAGAAATTGTTAGCCTTGGTGATGCAGGAGATCTTGCTGGTGAATGCCAAGGATCCAATATGTCAGAAGCTATAGGCATTGAAAATAAAGAGAAGGTACGATCCATACTTTTAACATGTTTGACTATTCACTTGCATTTGGCCTAAGAATGTTTCAATGGTAATGTTGAGATATAGGAAATTACGATCATCTCTCATGTCATTTAACATGAGAGAATTGCTTATTTTTCTCATGGCAAGGACAATGCTTGTCGCTTCCAGGTTCATACTTTATGCGAGAAAATAGATTTTATCGTCTTAAAAAGCCTCCAAAATTATCTCATTCGGATTATGAAAGCCATGGTGTCAGATCCTGTGTCAAAATTCTCCAAATATGCTTAGTTTTATGTCATAATGAGGCTTTTCTTTTTATAAGGTACTTCTGGCTTCAAGTTTAAATTTCTCTGAAATTAGCATTTTTTTTTTGCCGAGAAATTAGCATGGTGAAGGTGCTATGAATTTGATCAATGAGTTTTGGCCTTTTGGGAGTGCCTAAAGAGGAAACAGAGGAACCTCTGGTAGTAGTCTTGCATAGGATCTTGATAGTAGTAAGGCTGCTTTTGAGGAATGAAGTATAGGCAACAGCTAATATGTCTTTGTTTTGTACGGTTCCTTTGAGTCTGGTTTTAGGTTGTATGTAGGTCCGATCTGTTTCTCTTTTGTATATTGTAATACTAGGAATTTGTGTTTTCGGTTTTTGAGTTTATTTGTAAGTATAACTTTTTCTTTTTTTCAGAAGTAATAAAATTTACTTCTTTTGCTAAAAAATTTAAAAACATTTTCTAGCCAAATGCGCTCCTCTTGAAGTCCTGTACTAGTCTGATACAATATTGATGAAAACGAATGTGCAAATAAAATTGTCCAAATAAAACACATATAACTGGACTCAACCTCTGCATTGTTTAAACAGGTGGATTTTCATAGTTCGAATCATCTGAAGCTCTTTTCATCAAATTTGTTAAGATTGGTGCAGTCACTGGAGGAGCTAGAAGTAAGTGACTGTGGTTCCCTAGAAGTAGTGTTTGATGTAAAAATAATGGATGACAGAGAAATGCAAGGAAGGAAAACAAGTCAGTTGAAAAGGCTTGCTCTGTCGAGACTGCCAAATCTGAAACACATATGGAACAGAGACCTTCCAGAAATACTCAGTTTCAAAAATTTACAGGTCACGAAAATCACTCAGTGCCAAAGCTTGAAACATTTGTTTTCAGTATCGTTATGCCAAGATCTGCAGCAGCTTCAAGACCTTGTGATAATGTCCTGTGGCATTGAGGAAATTGTTGCCGTTGAAGGAGAAGGATTAGAGGAACTTAAGTTCTATTTTCCTCGTTTGACTATCTTCAGGCTACATTTTCTGATGAGGTTTAAGAGATTTTACCCAGGAAGACATTATTTGGAGTGCCCTTCACTGAAGACATTAGATGTATTTGGCTGTGAAGGATTGGAAATATTTAGCTTTACTCATTTGGACTCCCGGCAGACATTAATGGTTGGTGAAGATGACATGCCAATTCAACAAGCCCTCTTTTCTCTTGAAAAGGTACTTGCATGCCCTTTTGCTATTTATTCTTTTAGCTTGTTGATTCTTACAATCAGATTCTTGAGCTTAACTAAGAAAAATAGAAGTATTATTATTCTCATGTAATTTATGAGGTTATTCCTTGATTTAAAGATCAATTAAATAGTTACATTTATTCTTTATGTATCAGGTGTCCTCGAATTTGAAGGATTTGGCATTAAATGAAAAGGATTCCATCGAGATATTGAACGGACACTATGAAGCAAATTTGTTCCATAGTTTAGAGGTGCTTGGTTTACAGTGCTTCCAAGAAACTCCGGTGATGTTGCTAAATAGGTTCCTTGAAAAATTCCCCAATATCAAAACACTTGGAGTGCGATATAGTTCTTTCAAGGTTTTTTTTCCTTCAAATGAAGCTGGTTATTGTGGTTTTAGAAGTCCCAACCAAATAAAAAAGTTGGGGCTTCAAAAGATGGAGCAGCTTGAGCAGATATGGAATGATGACTCTCTGACAGATGTCCTTGAAGAACTCATTGTGTTGGATTGTCCAAGTTTAACAAGCTTGGGACCACCTTCAATAGCTTTCACAAGTTTAACTTCCTTACAAGTGATGTACTGCAAAAGGTTGACCTTTTTAATGACAGGCTCCACTGCTAAAACTCTTGTGCACCTCAAACAGTTGTGGATAAGAAATTGTGGGATGATGGAAGTGGTTGTAATGATTAATGAAGGAACACCAGAAGAGATTAAATTTGAAAGCTTAGAATATTTGGAAATGACCTTTTTACCCTCTCTCAAAAGCTTCTGCTCTGGAAAACATACTTTTGTATTCCCATCATTGGAAATGTTAAAAGTGAGAGGATGCCCCAGAATGCAGAATTTCTCATCAGGAGTCATTATAGCCCCAACAATAACCATGGAAGTAGAAAATGAAACAAGACATTGCGCTGAAGACTTTAATACCACTATCAAGCAGCTGGCCATGGAACAGGTGCAGTGAACCTAAATTGTTGTGGTATCCTTTAGTTTAAAAGCAATTTGAAAAATAAGCCGATGCTCTTTTTAATATTCAAGTTCCTCATGTTTATTTGTGTCTATTCAAGTTCCTCATGTTTGTTTGTGTTCTTCTAGAGAAGCCATAAAACAAATATCATTATTTTGAAGGTGCTTTATGTAACAGGATTTATCTAACAATAAATATCTCTCTTATGGAATTAACTATACGAGATAAAGAAAGAAAAAATTGTCCGATTGAGATGAAATAGAATGTCGTTTGGTTGCAACATATTTTTTTTTTTTTGGGTCTGGCGGCTGCGTTATTATACATATAAAGCATGACTTCTCATATTTGATGATTGTTAATTTCTTTCCACAGAACCAAGAGTCACTATAACCCCAATGCTGACAGCTGTGGTTGAAGAAAATGGAACAGTGCGTCTGAAACATGACCTCGAATTTTTCAAGTCAATGCTATTAAGCAGTTGTTGATGGACAAGTTATGTTAAATTTGATTTGTTTTACGAATTTAAATGTGTGTTTGTGCTATCTCGAGAAACAATAAAAGAATTATTGGACTCTCTGTTTTCTTAGAACGAAAAATATTATTATGTATTGGTATATCAAATACTGGATTTGCCTGATTGATTCATATAGCTTTTGTTATGTGTATTTTTGTTGCCTTTTGGATTTTAATTTGGTTACCCACTTGTTCAGTGCCAAAATAAGCGAGTTTACGTTTCTGTAATCTCTTGTTAGCAGGAAGTTTCAAGTTCTGATGAATAAGAACTACCGGTTAAAGAGTTGAAGTAGCTGAAATACGTGATCGTGATCTGTTTTATTCTCGTTTCTACTGCTGGCGTGTTTCTCATTGTATTTCAGATTTCTTCGTAAAAGGGAAAAAATATGTTGGTCTGTCGTGCTTGACACTGCGGTCCTTGAACAATACTAGAATATAAGCAGTCAAGTAGCTGTGGTAGTTAGAATTGGTTGTTTCTGTTAGGAGAACCAGACTGTCATGTATTGTATCGTTACAACAAGGAAGCGATACAATTTTCCCGAGCAGTTCTGATCTGAAAAATTAACATGTTATCAGTGCATGCTTATACTTTGTTTATTCACTCCTATCAATGCAACTGGATTTCAATAAATTTTGAAGGGAAAAAAAAAAAAAAGAAGATAACACCAAATGATCTTTCGAAATGAGTTTTAAAAGGCGAAAGATGGGTGATAAAATGTATAACCTTGTAAAAATTGGAAGGAGTAAGGCAATTGAAGACACAACACCAAGTGGCTTTCGCATTTTGAGCCGTAGAAAGTGAAAGTTGGAGGTTAAAAATGAAACCTTGTATTGTGAAAGTCATTTGCAACATTTATGACATTAGACTACAATAAAAACACTTTCCGTCACAGTTTCTTTTTTCTCGTACTCGTTTTTAATGTACCGAAACGCTACTAGTTCGGGAAAAATAAACACCATTCTGTGCCCAACACCATTGTTTTTGGCATCGAACTTCCCTTTTTTAAATTAAAATTTCCTTTTTAAAATGTCAAAAAGTTTAATTTAGCATTTAGTAATCAATAGCCACTGTATTTTTCTTTCTGTTTTTCTTTTAACCGACGGGACGATTAACATGATAAGATTACAAAGTAAGGCTTTTATGCCGATAAATACATCAGATCCTCAATGGAAAATTTTGAAAGGCTCAGACCTGATCTAAATAATTTACATAATAAATAAGTTTAAAATTTATAAAACTATTGAACCTAAAATTTAAGAATTATTTACCCAATTATCCATTATTTTTTATTCTCTCCATCTCAAATTATAAGAAACTTTTATAAAAAAATTTAGTGTTCTAAAATATAAGACACTTTAATAAAAAAAAGGTTTCATTAATGATACTTTTTCAATATTATCCTTCCCATATATTTTTTCTTTTCAATATTTTTTTAATAAAATATTAAATAAAAAGTACTTTGAAAAGTTTATATTTTTATTTTAAAAATAAAATTATAAAATATATTTAATAAATTTTATTAATATATGAAATTTTATTTAAAAATATTTTATATTTTAAGACAAGAAAGATATTATTTTTTTAATTTTACTCCTCGTTGAAAAATCAGTTGAGAGACAGTGAATGGACACTGCAGTGGGTGGACCTAAGTAATTGAGCATGGAATGTGGGCGCGTTTTCCACAGCGGACCAATTTCGTCTATGGTACCGTGTTAATCTTTGTGGGGCCAAACTTTTGTAGCATGTTCAAAATAACAGTAGAGCGAGGGTTTTCCATTTAATTGTATACAGCTAAACCATCCACCTTTTTTACTCCAAATTTTTAAGGGAGAATCACAACCAAAGACTGCTAGAGAAACATATTCATAGTTAAGGATCAATTAATTTTGAATTTACATTTCAGTCTCAAAAATCTTAATTGTAATTAATTTTTATTGAAAAAAGACAAAAACACCCCTAATGTTAAAAATCAAAACAAAGATCGTTGGTTTTAGTTCCAACTTCCTCGACCTTCACGTCACCCTACTCCCACAATTGTTGGTTCAGAAGTGGTTTGGCTATACTGAAGGTGGTTTCCCTATATTTGAGTTCGGGAGAAGTTACTCATGTAGTCACTTGAGGTTTGGTGTGCTGTAGAAGTTTGGGCATAGCCATCGAACATCGTCTTGGTGAGCATTGTTGGAGTTTGCGAGGAGTAAAAGCTGCATTGAACTGTAAGTTGGGTTTCTTCAAGTTTTTTGTTTGTAAACCATTGAATTTTTCCCTTTGAAGAATTTTAAAAAAATTACAAGAGCCAAAACCATAAGAATAAGTACCCTTTAAGAAATTAACAATTGATTGGTTGATATTGACTAGTTGACAAAGTGAGTGCATGTTGCCCTAAAAAAATAAGTAGTATGTCATGATTCGTATACTCATTCATTAGTAGGCAAACTAAGTCCATGCTCTTGAAAATATTGAAGTGTCTTGTGATGTTTGACAAGTTTTTGAATTAGCAAGTCCCGTTAGTATGTTGACAAATAGTCAATTTGAAATTAACAAGCACCCTTAGTAGATTGAGTGTTGTGCCTAATTAATGAATGCTAATAAAGGAGATGACAAATGTTGTTGGTTGTTTTTTGTTTTATTGTAACTGACAAGTATATAATGTTGATGATTTGTCAAAGTTTTTAATATGTAAATGGATGCAAAAGAAAAATCCTATTATTAGTTTGACAAGTATATAATTTACAACTGAGAAATACTGTTGTTATATTTTTTGACAAGTATATAATTTGTAAATGACGAGCCTCGTTATTATTTTGATAAGTATATAATGTGCACAATTTGTTTGAAGTTTTGGACAAGTATATAATCTTCTAAAGACAAGCCCTGTTATTAGTTTGACAAGTATATACTTTACAAATGACAAGTATTGTTGTTATGTTTTTTTGACAAGTATATAATCTATAAATAACAAGTTCTATTATTATTTTGACAAGTATATAATGTACATTATTTGGCTGAAGTTTTGGACAAATAAATAATCTTCTAAAGACAAGTCCCGCTATTTGTTTGACAAGTATATAATCTATAAATAACAAGTCTCGTTATTATTTTGACAAGTATATAATGTGCATTATTTGTCTAAAGTCTTGGACAAGTATATAATCTTCTAAAAACAAGTCCCATTATTAGTTTGACGAGTATATAATCTAGAAATGACAAGTACTGTTGTTATGCTTTTTTGACAAGTATATAATTTGTAAATGATAAGACCTGTTATTATTTTAACAAGTACATAACGTGCATTATTTGTTTGAAGTTTTGGACAAGTATATAATTTTTTAAAGACAAGTCCCATTATTAGTTTGACAAGTATATAATCTACCACTGTTGTCATGTACTTTTGACAAGTATATAATCTGAAAATGACAAGTCCCATAATTATTTTGACAAGTATGTAATGTGCATGATTTGTTTGAAGTTTTGGACAAGAATATAATCTGAGAAAGATAAGTCCCATTTTTATTTTGACAAGTATATAATATGCAAATGACAAGTCCTGTTATATACTACTAACAGGTATATAATGTGCATGATTTGAAGTTATGGACAAGTATATAATCTTGCAAAGACAAGTCCAGTTAGTATTTTGACAAGTATTGAATATGAAAATGGCAAGTCTTTTTATTATTTTGACAAGTATATAATCTGCAAGATTTGGACAAGTTTATATTTTGCAAAAGACAAGTCCCGTTACTATTTTGATTCGTATACAATGTGGAGATAACAAGTCCTGTTATTATTATTTTTCACAATAATGTGGTATACATGATTTCTCCAAGCCACAAAATTGTTAATATGTATAGTGGTAGAAAAATGGCTGACAAAGAAAACAAGAAATACGTGACAAGATTTAACTTATTTAAGAAGGATTTCTATGCAAGTAGGAACGAAAAGTTTAAGAGCTTCCAAGATGGATAGTGTTAAAGAAGCATGGAAGAGAGTAAGTGAGGAAGAGAAGAAGAAATATAAAGAAATGGCATTGGAAGGAAGAATAGAAATCCCTAAAAAATACACTTTACCATTCCTAACCAAATGCTCACTTAGTAAATTCATAAAAGTTGTTGAATATGTGAAGGGGAATGAAAATTTAAGGGAAAGGGTGGAGAAAATTGAGTTTGGGAGGTTGTTAGATATTGGTTGCAGGAAAATTCCTCGAGAACTTATTGCAGAGGTGATTAAATTTGTATGATCTACTTATTAAAGGATTACCATAAGAAAGAAGATTGTTAGTATCAAGTTGGTAGATGTTGAGCTTTTACTGGGGTTACCCAGTGAAGATAGAAAAATGAAAATAGTTGCTAGCAAGAAGGTTGTATGAAAAATGCAAAGAGTTTATTTCCTTTTTTTTGATAATGAAATGAAAAAGAAGATAATTTCTGGAGAACATGATGATTCCTTTAAGTTTTTATTTGTATTGTACACATTGGGTACTCTATTATGTCCAAGTACATGTTTTGGTGTAAGTGATTGTATATTGAAAGTCATGGCGTGCACCAAAAAAGCATGGGCACAATATGATTGGGCCATACTTGTTTTCAATAAACTAACAGTTAAAATTAAAAAGTACAAGAAGGCTACTAAGGAGGGAAAGCTTCACGGATCTAAAACTGTTGGAGGCTGTGTATTCTTCTTGTTGGTACATATGTATTTATCACTTTTATTAACTAAGTTAGCCTTTTTGAGTTGTGTGTGATTGTGTTTTGTTACCAAATATTGTTCCTCTAATATTTTCCATTGGTTATAGGTGGCTTGTAACATCTTTAATTTTTAAATTAGATTAAATAAGCCCCATTAGATTAATTAAGTGTGCATTAGTGATGTGTGTGGCTAGAAAGGCCTAACAGGCATGTTTAATTTTAATTTTAGCCTTAAATATGGCTCTGAAGGAGTGTCACCTGGGGGATGAAAGAGGAAGAAATTCTGAGAAGGAAGATTCTGTGTTACAAGCTGCGGCTTGTGGATGAGCTGCCGCGGCGCATGTGTGACAACATGCCAAGGAAGCTCTCTATACTAGATGTCAGGGTGCATTATGCATCCCCTGCGGTGTATGGTCACATTTTTGTTGTCATAAGTCGCAAAAATG